CCTGTATACCTAGTAAAGTGTCATTCTCGTGAGGATCCTGACTAAATTTTCACAGAGGAGGCGCTGTTGCTACGCATCATACCCAAAAACACTATAAATGACACTGGTATTTCGTACTCTGGAACTGGTCTTTCGCTTTGGGAGAGACCCCAGATAATTCCAGTGGCTAGATATTAACTTCCTCACCTGGTATACAGGAGGTCGTGGGTTCGCTCCCAACCCTGATAACCTGCTGTTTATTCAGAGTTTGCATGTTCTCCCCATGGTCATGTGGATTTTTCTCCGAGTCCACCAGTTTTTCCCCTCCACATTTAACATCACGCGTTTAGAGTATTTGGCTGCTATAAATTTCCACGTGAGGATAAGCCACGTCGTTGAGCTATTATTTGCGATAACCAAGGTCGCTTCGGGGCAAAAAAAGCAGCTACATCGCTCAGTGGGCCTTACCTGGTAAAATAAAAAAGTTAATAGTTTTAAATGCCGAGGAACCCAAAGCAGAACAAGGGTTGCCACATCTTCTTGGTTCTTTCGGTAAAGTCACGTAGAAAACATTATTAAATAATACAATATAATAATAAAGTAATGAATTTATATTTTTATTATTTTATTATTTCCTTTTTACGTGACTTTACCGAAAGAACCAAGAAGATGAATCCCTGCAGTCACGAAAGCTTTAAAATCGAAGGGTTGCCACAGTCAAGAATGTAACCCCCGGCATATTCTCGCTCCATCACCCTGCCACCAAATTTCTCGTCTTGGACACGCAAAATCAAATCAAATCACAGAGCCACTTTGGGAAGGGGGCGACGGCAATTTCTTTCACCACCATCCGACGGCCTCGCTGCTCACCCTCGGACGGGTGCTCAAAGCCGCAGTCGACGATTGCCCGCAGCAGCTCCGGCTTGAGCAGGAAGTCCCGGAAGCCGGAGCTGTGGATGGAGACGTAGGAGCCCTTCACCTCCTTCTTGACGGGCGCCTCCGTCGCCTCGGCCGCCACCACATTCTCCTCGTCGTCCTCGTAGTCCAAGAGCTCGTTCTCAACGTCGTTCTCTGCCATCGTGAGAGTAAGGGGGGGTTGTTTCCTGCGATTGTGGGGGGGGGGGGGGGGGAAATCACACGGGCAAAGTTCATGAGACCGGCCTACTTGAAACTTTAATTTAAGGGACTTCCCTTGCCCGTTTCCAAATACAAAAATAGGTTTTACCATTTTTGTCAATGAAAAAGATATTAAAACACCAAACTGAAACATTTTACAAGGCATGTTTTATTTGTATTATTTCCCTTCTACGTGACTTTACCGAAAGAACCAAGAAGAAGGCATATCTGCATTAACCACAATACTTGTGAACATGCAAACAAAACATGCTCCGACAGTATATGATGCATTGTCTTTCCCATGATGCAGCTGCTCCCCCCGAGCTCTCAATGACCTGATCGTGGCGTTGTCTTTGTGCTGTTCGCCTGTTGGCGTCCTCTGGTCTAACACTTTGAGAATAGGCTCTAAAGAAAGCTGTCTCTGGTGCGGACTAATACAATATCAAAGACAATGCATTTGCTATCAGTACAAGTTTTTTTGTTTGCATGTTCACCACAAGTATGTGTTGCTAATGCAGACATGATTCTTTGCAAAAAGGTTCCTGTTTGGCGCATTAACATCTTAACCGTTTTATTTTTCGATCTAAAGCTTTCGTGACTGCAGGGATTCATCTTCTTGGTTCTTTCGGTAAAGTCACGTGGGTAGAAAAAATAATAAATCACGACGTTTCGATCGCAACACAAGCAATCGGCTGCGATCAATTTCGAGGGTCACCCACGCGTTGCATTCTCAGCAGGCCCACTGCAGACCACCACATCATCATCATCATCATCACTTATCATCACTTGCATTCGATAACCATTAATATACACTCGCCACTTAAGCTCTCAAACCTCCCGTTTATGGCTTTGTTCCGGGTCAAACCCTCCTTCCCCCTCCCCAACACTTTGCACGGGGGTACAAACACCACCAAGTTCGTGTTCAAATCTCACAACTCTTTGGGCAACAACAATTTAGAAGCTTCCAGCATCGGGCAGCAAATTCCTGAAACCGTGGGTCTTGGCGTCGTCAGCCATTGTCCATCCACTGCTGGATGACGGCCATGTTGTTAGATTCGTGTCGTTCTACATTGGTACTCGAGACACTGACTCTGTACTCGAGACAAACTTGCCACATCTTAACGATACTACTACACAAATGTTTATTATAAATGATCACGTTTAACCATTGTCCGGTCATCGCTATTCACGTATACTTTAGCCTGCTACGACATTATCAGCCACTCGTTTAAAACACACGCTCTCGTCACAAACACCGACACGTTAACAGTGCATTGCGATTTTTAAAAAAATATAGATTTAAGTCGTTTAACAATTAAATTTGAGGAGAGGGGAGGGAGTGGAACCCCGCCTCGACTAGGCCTTTAACAAATAGGCCTCCGCCGCGTCTCCGCAGCAGTCCCCAGCGCGTCGCGACGAGATCGATGCCGTGCCCCGAGCTTGCCGACACGACGAGAAGCCGAGTGGAGAGGGAAATTACGGCGGATGGCGACGGATGGTGACGGATGGCGACGGCGACTTTCTTAACACCGCTTACCTGGGGTGAGCAACGCGTACAAGACGACAAGATGGCGGCTGTGCGGGGGGAGGGGAGTCGAGGGGGGGGGCTTTATAAAGCGGATCTATTAGGACCCCGGATTGAGGTAGCCAACGCTGACTGCCTGTCAGAATTGTTATTTATTTTACAATTTTTTGATTGCTGTGCTAAGAAAAATTGTCATTGCGCGATTTGTTGCCCGTTTTAATTTTTTTTTCTAAGGCCACAGTGTATTGTTGTTAAATGTGTTGAGTTTTATTTAATTTTTGGTGTGTTGTTGCTGGCGATGTTGGAAAGCGGGGATCGATTCAACTTGGCTCACGATTCTTTAGAGTCGATACGATTTTGTAATTACGTTCGATTTCTGGAATCGATTCCCGTATCGGACGGACGATACGCACTTGCAAAATTGTTCCCGGTATCAATAAAGATTTACAAATTTGATCAATACCAATAATCAAATAACAATCAATACCTGGCCATTCATAATACAGGTTTTTATTGGGTTAAATATAAATGTGTCGTTCAACCCGCCACCAAGTCTGCTTTATGTTCACGGACTTGAAACACGGTAGTACAAATTATTCTTTGGTTCTTTCGGTAAAGTCACGTCTAAAGATAAAATAATAAATGAAATAATAGCATACTACGACGTTTCGATTGCAACACAAGCAATCGTCATCAGGTATAAAAGAAATAGCAACAAAAATCTAACCAGAAAACTATAGACAGACATATAAGCAGACAGATAGGACAAACACCTCAGCCGTGGCAGATCACTGTTACAACTCAGTGGGCTCACATGACATTGACTTCTCCAAGACAGAGGTTCTCTGCAAGCCATCTGGCTATCATGAGAGATTCGTTCATGAGGCGATCCACATATACAAACACAGAGACAATTTCAACCGAGAAGATGGATTCTGGCTCTCAGCAATCATTGGAAGGACGTAATAAACCATTTCGGATCTTAACTGATTGTTGTTCACGTTTACGGTGACTTTCAGACCGCAGTCCACTCACTGGCAATGACTATATATCTTGTATTCTTGGTTCTTTCGGTAAAGTCACATAGAAGGGAAGTAATAAAATAATAAAAATAAAACATAATAAAATAATTCTCACGACGTTTCGGCCACAACGCAAGCAGCCGTCTTCAGGTCAAAACCAGGTCTGTCGAGGCGACAGCGTCTGAATGAAACAGCACACGAGCTTGGAGCATATATATAAGCTGGGTTGGAGGGGGGAAGGGCGCCTTGACAAAATAATATGCATATCAAAAGGAATTTAGCATATTTATGGGAAATTCAGTTATGTGATTAGTACTATTTATGCCCCTACTAATCACATACCTGCATTTCCCATAAATATGCTAAATTCCTCTTGATATGCAAATTATTTTGTCAAGGCGCCCTTTTCCCTCCCTTCCAACCCAGCTTATATATATATGCTCCAAGCACGTGTGCTGTTTCATTCAGACGCTGTCGCCCCGACAGACCTGGTCTTCACCTGAAGACGGCTGCTTGCGTTGTGGCCGAAACGTCGTGAGAATTATTTTATTATGTTTAATTTTATTATTTTATTATTTCCCTTCTACGTGACTTTACCGAAAGAACCAAGAAGATGAAGCCTTGCAGTCACGAAAGCTTGAAATCGAAATATAATGAAAAAAAAATATTTTATTATATAATAATACAATGTTATTTTTATTATTTTTGCTTTATTTTATTATATTATAATATTATATTATGTTTTATTTTTATTATTTTATTATTTCCCTTCTACGTGACTTTACCGAAAGAACCAAGAAGATGAAGCCTTGCAGTCACGAAAGCTTTAAATCGAAATATAATTATAAAATATAATTATTTTATTATATAACAATACAATGTTATTTTATTATTTTTGCTTTATTTTATTATATAATATTGTTATATTATGTTTTATTTTTATTATTTTATTATTTTCCTTCTACGAGACTTTACCGAAAGAACCAAGAAGATAGCGTTACGAAGTTCCGGCGTCCGTATCTAGCTGACGTCATCGCGTAACAACCAATCGTATTCGTCGTTACATCGTCACTCGGTAATCGACGGACCAATCGGAGGCGTCGTCTTATCTCGGCTCCACCCCCTCCGCTCCGTGACCGTCACATTTGTGATGCGCCGCTTCGCTTATTCGTCGCTTAAGCATTTAACTTTATAAAGTTTTAGTCGCTTGCCTCTGTAACACCAGCACGTGTTGACGCGTGGCGCCTCATTGAAGCCGGCGATTCACACGCACTTGACCGTACGTGTTGTCTACGGGGGGGGGGGAGGAGCGGGGGCCGTTAAAATAGGTACCAATTTGTGATAAAGAGTGTGAATTCCTGCGTTTCACGAAAGCTTTAAGTCAAGATTTTATTCTAAGCCGGTTGGAGCACTGGTCGGTGCTCGGATGGGCGACCTCCGTGCGTAGCAGATGGTCTTTATTAAGAATGCTTATCGTGCTTGTATATGCAGGGACATCATCATTATTATTCTTAGCGATTACAATTTCCTGACCAAAGTTGTTATCACAAGCAGCGGACTCGATTAACCCATTCCTGGGCCTTCGCATGAAGTGCCTTGCTGCGTTGCGTCAACATCGCCACTCGAGGGAGACAAAGGCGGCCGGGCGTGGTGCTGGCCACCCACCCTCATCCTCGTGTGTCATCCCGGCCTTCACAGGTGCTGCTGTTCGCTAACAGCATCAGGTGTGATGTGTAAACATCGCCATTGGGGAGACAAAGGCGGCCGGGCGTGGTGTTGGCCACCCACAACCCTCTTGTGCCACAGTGCCGGCCTTCATAGGTGCTGCTGCTATTCCCTAACAGCGCTTGCCCCAACAGTCTGTGAAGGCGATGTGAATGTGAGAGCGAATGTGTGTGCGTGTATGAGTGAGTGGAGTTTCGATTTAAAGCTTTCGTGACTGCAGGGATTCATCTTCTTGGTTCTTTCGGTAAAGTCACGTAGAAGGAAAATAATAAAATAATATAAATAAAACAATAAAATAATTCTCACGACAGACCTGTTCTCCACCTGAAGACGGCTGCTTGCGTTGTGGCCGAAACGTCGTGAGAATTATTTTATTATGTTTGATTTTTATTATTTTATTATTTTCCTTCTACGTGACTTTACCGAAAGAACCAAGAAGATGAGTGGAGTTTGTATGTTCTCCCCGTCTTCTGCATGGGGTTTTCTCCGTTGAATGCCACTAATAACTACCCGGTTACCTAGCAGGTAATGCGTCCTGTGCTCTTAGTTTTGTTATTTCCTGAATGAAGCGGTCGGAAGCTCGTGGTGTTTTCATTTCGCAGGCAGCGAGTGCTGGAGAGATCAGGAATCATGGATTTGCATGCCATCCTGGAGCCTGGTGACATCCCAAAGCCGGGACTTTGGTAAGGAGGCATTCATTCATAGCCACCACGTTGAAGTTCTTTCGCACAGTACAACCCATGGGCGCCCGTTGACCCAACTTTGGGGCGCGCATTTTTTTTTTTGCGATCCCGACCGCAATGGGCGAATACAATTTTTTATTTCAATAAATTAGGATGAGACAATTACAATCAAATGATAACGTGAATGAACAGTGTTACTTGTATTGGAAATAATGTATTTTTGTTCCAGACGATTGTTTTGATCCCCCTCGGACAAATGAAATATCCTGATTCATAATTGATTTTTGAGATGTTAGCCCACCGTAACGATCTGACCAACATTTGTGTCGTTAAGAACCTGCACTAGCGGGCACGTCCAACCTAATTAAAGTGTCACCCGTAAAAGCGTTTAACGGTTTGTTATCGCTTGAGTTCACACGGTGCGTTCAATCAGAATCAGAATGTGTATTCTTAGGTTTTTTCGGTAAAGTATAATAATAAAAAGTGGGCCATTCCTGGCCCTTCCCCCCCCTCAACCATTATATATACGGAGTGGTATCTCCTGTAATCTCTCATTTACTTGATACAGCTGTCGGGCTGTGACGGTTCCACCTGAAGACGGAAGCTTGTGTTGCCTCCGAAACGTCGTGATTTTTATTTTATTTTTATTTTATTTTACTTTAATTAATTATAATTTTTTACCTACGTGACTTTACCGAAAAGACCTAAGAATATGAATCCTTGCAGTCACGAAAGCTTCAAATCTAGAATCAGAATGTGTATTTATACTGGAGGAGGAATCCGATGAGCTTTCAAGCTTTTTTTTCACACATGTCCAGTAGGTGCACAGGGTCAGAAAGTTACAACAACAATCACAATTACAGTGGTAAATCGGTATACGTCGTTAATTCGTTCCGGAAGGTAGGACTTTTACCGAAAATGACGTATACCAAACGGATTTTTCCCATAAGAAATAACGGGAAAGGAAATAATCCATTCCAGAGTATAAGAAATAATATTTTTTGGGCATATTATACATTAATGGGGTTGTATAAAATAATTTAGACACTACTTATTACTCAAATGCATACATAAATTAAAATAAATGCATAAATAAATAAAAATAAATTTAAATAAAAATACAATTTAACATCACTTTACTTTGCTGAGAGAAGTTGATAGCAAGCGCGTCGTATCCCAAGCAACACGTCGTATCTCAAGACATTTCTCTCTCGTCAAAACACAACGTCTACCACACTCGACGTATTCCAAAGCGGTCGTATACCGAGGTATGACTACAAAAAACACGATAGGAGTGGCAAAGTATAGAAAAGGTTATAAAATCACCAAAAAATGAAGAATGAGACTCAACAATTTTTTTTATTTTACCAGGTCAGGCCCACTGAGCTATGAGCTCCTTTTTCAGAAGCGACTTGGCCACAAATGATAGCTCAGTGAAGTGGCTTATCGCGTGGAAATTTATAGCAGCCAAAATAATCCAAGTAGTCTAAACACGTGTTTATAAATGTGGAGGGAAAAAAACTGGAGGACCCGGAGAAAGACATCCACGCGGCCACGGGGAGAAGGTGCAAAATCCAAATATACAGCCGTCAGGGTCGGGATCGAACCCCTGACCTTCTGCATACCAGGCAAGGAAGATATATGTGTGTATGTAGAACGTCTTTGGCTCCTTACGTAGTCAACTGTGCTAATCGGAGATGCGAGGGAAGGACAACAAACTAAGCACAAAAAGCAGTTCTCAAGAAATTAGTTCTCAATCTAAATTATTTATAAGTGCGTAGCTCCAGCGGCTTCTTGACATCGGAAGGAAGAGCGTTCCAGACGGCCGCAGAAGCGCATCTGAAAGCGGGGTTGGGGAGCAGCCGGCCGGGGGTGTACGTATACGCGTGTATGTGTGTGTTTCGTACGTGTACGTATAATCGTGTATATACGCAGCGTGTACGTGTGTGTGTGTGCCCCCCCTCCCCTCCCCATCTGGCCGTGGGGCAGGTACGTGTTAGCCCCACGTGGCCAACCGCCCCCCGTCACCGTGGGCCACACCTGCACGCACCTGGCGGGCTCACGGCGCGGAGCCATGGGACGGGTGCTGATCGTCGGCGGAGCCAATCCCGAGGCCAGCTTCAAGCACACGGTGGTTCTGGACCTGGGTGCGCTCACGCGCGTATTTGTGTGTGTGTGGCGTTGTGGTGGTGGGAGCCGTAGCGTAGCGGTTAGCGCGCTGCGCTGCGAACCCGGTGACCCGGGTTCGATTCCCGCTCACGGCCAACATCCGTGACCAATATATGAACCGATCCTGGGCCTCCCCAGGTGAACTTAGCCGCAAATGAGCACCTGGTGATGTGTTTAAACATTGTCAGTAGGGAGATGAAGGTACCTGGGCGTGGTGCTGGCCACCCACCTTCTCGTGTGCCGTGCCGGCCTTCATAGGTCCTCGCTAACAGCACTTGCCCCAACAGTTTGTTACAGGCTATACAGAGAATCTTTGTCTTTGTGTGCGTGTGTGTCTCTCTGCGCGCGTGTAGATACCTACGAGTGGCGTACCCCCGACTGGCGCGGCCTGCAGCCGCGCTACGAACATGCCGCCTTCATCTCTCCCTCCGCCCCCCTCGCTGAAAGTAGTCCCGCCGATGAAAATAGTTCCACCCCGGAAGGCGGTGGCGGGCGCGCAAGTGGTGCCGAGGTGGCTTTGGATGGAAGCCCTCGCGGCTCCACAGAGAGCCCTCCTCCTCCTCCTCCATCGCTCGCGAGTAACAGCTCCGCCGGGCTGTGGGTCTTTGGCGGAGCCGATCGTACGGGCAACAGGAATTGCGTTCAGCGGTTGGATTTGGGTGAGTCGCCCCTTCGCGTAACGCGGTCGCCTGGCATAGTGGGGAGGGTCTTGACGATGCAAATTTAGTGAGATTATTACGTGGTCGAAACCAAAAATAAATGGCTTATAACTCTTAATATGAAACGTATGTATATGTTCAATATCCATACATGGGTAAGTATGAAAGTTACAAATCACATTTGCAAATGCAGTTGTATCCAGCACTCATTATGCTTCAGGATATTAATTTAAGGCAGAGTTACGATGTTAAGGGAGGAAACAGGGCTGTTCCAAAATATTGGTACGTGCGTATGTTGAACTTCTTTCGCACCATACGTAGACAACCCTGCTAATCAAAGGTGCGGGGGAAGGACAACAAACTAAACACAAAAAGTAGTTCTAAAGTAATGAGTTTGTTAATCTAGACGACGATTTAAAAGTGCATCATAGCTCCAGTGGCTTCCTAATATCAGAAGGAAGAGCGTTCCAGACAGCCACAGCAGCGCGTCCGAAAGCGCGCGACGCGGTAACCAGGTTTGAATGGGGCCGGGTTTGGGGGGGCGTCTCTGTGTTTGTCAGAGCAACGCAGGTGGGAGAGCCCCCCAGTGGGGGGCACCCCCCCCTGCCCCCGCACGTACCACAGCGGTGCGGCGGCGGTGGGGGGCACGCTGTACGTCGTGGGGGGCGGAGCGCACGGGGCGAGCGCCGTCAGGGACGCCCGCCTCTACGCCTTCGACTCTGGTGAGTGTACCCCCCCCACACGAGGTCCACTCAGCCTCAAACGAGTAGTACTTGTGTCTGTGTGTATGGATAGGCGCGGCCGGACGTGGTGCTGGCCACCCACCCCTTCGCGTGCCGTGCCGGCCTTCATAGGTGCGACTCGCTAAGAAGCACTTGCCCCGACAGTCTGTTAAGCCTATACGGGGGGGCGGGTATCTTTGTCTTTCTCTTGTTGCTGCAATGGAGCGCTTGTGGAGAGAGTGGAACAATTCCCATATTCGTGGCAGTGCGCTCACGACGGGTTCCGGTTTGGCAGCGGAGATCGCACTTCGAATCTGTCAAGTGGAATTATCTTCTCATTGGCTGCGTAAGTAATGGCTGTGTGGAAGCTGCTTAGCCTGTCGCTGCAAATGAAGACTAGGCTCTTCTCTGCCACTACACAGTCTCGCCATCTCTTCTCTACGCTTGTAAAACGTGGACTCCGACTGGAACACCCGCACCGGCTGCTTGAAACATTCAGGCTGGCCCTGCTTATGATCAATCCTGGTTTGAACCAGACTAGATTACAGTGTGAGGCGCTTACAGATCCTTGAAAGATCTGGACTTGGTCCCATCATCAGTGAGCTCCAACGGCAGGCGAGGCTGCGTTGGCCAGCCACCGCATGTCCAAGCAGCTTCTGTTTGGCCAGATGGAGGGGGATAAATGGGTGCAGCACGGGCTAGAGAACAGATGGGTTGATGAGTGGGTGAGTGAGCGGCATGGGCTGGTGAAAAGGTGGACTGATGAGTGAGTGTGTGAGTGAGTGAGTGAGTGGATGAGTAAGTGAGTGTGTGAGTGAGTGAGTGAGTGGATGAGTAAGTGTGTGAGTGAGTGAGTGGATGAGTAAGTGAGTGAGCGGAAGAGTGAGTTTGATGAGTGGGTGGGTGAGTGAGTGGCACGAGCTGGAGAAGAGACGGAGCTGATGCGGTACAGGGAGTATGTGGAGCTGAGTGGACTTGCCGATGACCGGTACCAGCGGTGTCAAGCTCGGCTTCTGTGGAGAACCACCACTGCGGTGCGTGTACGGTAGCGACGCTGTGGTAGTGACGCGTACCGTTCTGTCCCGCGCAGTGAACCGGCGCTGGTCGTGCCCCGAGACCACCGGCGCGGCCCCGTCACCGCGGCACGGCCACGCGGTGGCGTGCGTCGGCGCTCGGCTTTACGTGCACGCTGGCATGGACGGTGCCGACTTCCTCTCCGACCTCCACGTGCTGGACACCGGTGAGCGTGCCGGACATGGGAGCCGAGTCGCGGCTACTAACGCCGCGCGAAGAGGGCCTTTCCCAGGGTCTCTCTTGAGACTCATCCGTTAACACTTGGCACCTCCGATGAGTACGGTTGGCTACGGAATGTTCTAAAGAAGTTCAACGTAATACATACTAGGGGCACCGTGGTGGCTATGAGATGTTAACTACTTCGCCTGGTGTACAGGAGGTCGTTGGTTCGATCCCGACACTGACACCTGCTGTATATTTGGAGTTTGCGTGTCTCTCTCTCATCATCATCACGGTGGCTAGGAGATGTTAACTACCTCGCCTGGTGTACAGGAGGTCATAGGTTCGATCCCGACCCTGACACCTGCTGCTGTATATTTGGAGTTTGCATCTCTCTCTCTGTGGTCACGTGGATTTTTCTCCGGGTCCTCCGGTTTTTCCCTCCACGTATCGAGCATTTGGCTGCCGCCATAAATTTCCACGCGATGATAAGCCACTTCGCCGAGCGATCATTCGCGATAGCCACGCTTCTGAAAAAGAGCCATGAAGCTCAGTTCAGCCTTACCTGGTAAAATAAAAATTGTTTTCGTTTAGTTTTAACACTACACCCGAATAAATCCTCTGGGGGGGTGGGCGCGCGTCAGAGGTCGCAAACGGGGTTTGATTCCTTACCCGTATCCGGCCGCACCAGGGTCGCAAACGGGAACCCGTACGGGTATCGGGTAGGGTACGGGTATCGGGTACCCGGTTGCGACCTCTGCTGTGGTCCTCGCCTGTCCATGCCGTGTGCACACTAGGGGGCGCCCGAGTCTTTGCGAGCGGACTCATTCCCGATTCGTGGCGAAATCTTCGCTGCCGTCGTAGTCATCGTCGCCGGCGGCGATCGTCGTCCGCTCGTCTGTCACTATTCTGTCACCCCCCCCCACCCCCCCCGAATAACATTTGCGGTTAACTTTGCAGCATTGGGATGTTGGGTAAACACACACAGTTGTATACACAACAACAACAACAACAATGACAACAGGTGGCACGACCCGGATACACGACAGAGATACGTTGCGGCTGTTTGGAATTCTCTTCCAGGATATTAGGAAGCCGTTGGAGCTAATGCACTTTTACATCTCGATTCAAATCTCATTTCTTTTGAACTGCTATTTCTGTTCAGCACGGTTGGGTACGTACGGTACAACAACAGCAGGCGGCACAACCGGAATACACGATGGAGAGACTCGCAACGGCACAACCGTGTAAACCCACGCAGCCGTGCACAACAACAACAACAACGGGTGGCACAACAACAACCGCCATTCGCCACTAAGTGGCGGTGACGTCACCACAACGCTTGTGCCAGGCCATGTGCACCTTGAGGCCACGTGAAGTGTCGAACGCCCTCTGGCAGGAGGTCACGGGGCAGACCCAGCAGGTGCTACGGGTCGACTGACTGAGATGACCGAGATGACCGAGATGACCGAGATGACTGGCTGATGCACCACCTGTGCCCCCTACTCCGCCAACGGGTGGTACGACCACGTGATGACGCGCGCTTTGTCTTCCCTGCCCCGGCCCACAGCGGCCCTGCGCTGGGAGAAGGTGCGTTGCCGTGGGGACGTCCCGTCGGGCCGCGCCGCGCACGCCGCCCTGGCCCACGGCAGGTTCCTCTTCACGTTCGGGGGCCTGGGCCCCGCGGGGGCCTTGAGCTGCGCCTACAAGTTTCACGTCGGTGAGCGACGCGCGCACGCTGGCACGCACGCACACACGCACGCACACACGCTGGCACTCACGCGCGCACGCTGGCACGCACGCTGGCACGCACGCTGGCACGCACCGCGCGCACACTGGCACGCACACACGCGCGCACGCTGGCACGCACGCACACACGCTGGCACGCGCGCTGACACACGCACGCTGGCACGCACGCACACGCACGTTGGCACGCACGCACACACGCTGGCACGCACGCTGACACACGCACGCTGGCACGCACGCACGCACGCACACACGCACGTTGGCACGCACGCACACACGCTGGCACGCACGCTGACACACGCACGCTGGCACGCACGCACACACGCACGTTGGCACGCACGCACACACGCTGGCACGCACGCTGACACACGCACGCTGGCACGCACGCACACACGCACGTTGGCACGCATGCACGCATGCTGGCACGCACGCTGGAAAGTGCGCTGGCACGCGTGCTGGCACGCACGCTGGCACGCAGGCACACTAGCACACAGACGCATGGGCACGTGGGAAGGACCCATGCACACGCGTGTACGTACGTTTTGTGTATAAGGGCGCGGCGGTGGCGAGGTGTTAACTACCTCGCCTGGTGTACAGGAGGTCGTGGGTTCGATTCCGACCCTGACGCCTGCTGCTGTATATTTGGAGTTTTTGTGTGTCTCTCGCTCCCCGTGGTCGTGTGGATTTTTCCCCGGGTCCTCCGGTATTTCCCTCCACATTCAGAATCAATAGCACACATTTAAAGTATTGCTGTTATAAATTTCCACGCGATAAGCCACTTCGTTGTGCTATCATTTGTGGCCAGATCGCTTTGACCTTCATGCGTGAATTGATGGGCGCTTGTGATGAACAGTTGTTGTGATGGGCGCTTGTGATGGACGCTTGCGATGGACGGTTTTATGTACGTTGTTGGCAGATAAGCAGCGGTGGACGCTGGTGAAGCTGAACTGTCCACCCCCGGCCCCACGACTCGACCATGCCATGTGTATCATCCCCTGGGTCACCCGTCTCAGACCGGTACGACAACGACACACGCGCTGCACAGCTGTCCCGTGCGCAGGCAAGGCCGAGTGCACGCTCGCAAGGCTCAGCGATGACCCCAGGTCAATTGCACGATTGCGCTACTCAGCACTATCCTCTGTAGGCTCTCACGATACCCTTCCACGCACTCTCCTGCCTCTCCCCTCTCATCTCACTCCACTCCCCTCCACGCACTCTCCTGCCTCTCCCCTCTCATCTCACTCCACTCCCCTCCACGCTCTCTCTTGCCTCTCCCCTCTCATCTCACTCTACCCCCCTCCACGCTCTCTCCTGCCTCTCCCCTCTCATCTCACTCCACTCCCCTCCACGCACTCTCCTACCTCTCCCCTCCCATCTCACTCCACTCCCCTCCACACTCTCTCCTGCCTCTCCCCTCCCATCTCACTCCACTCCCCTCCACACACTCTCCTGCCTCTCCCCTCTCATCTCACTCCACTCCCCTCCACGCACTCTCCTGCCTCTCCCCTCTCATCTCGCTCCACTCCTCTCCACGTTCTGTCCTGCCTCTCCCCTCTCATCTCACTCCACTCCCCTCCACGCAATTTCCTGGGGCTGCGAGGTGGCTAGGAGATGGCAGTACAACACGTGTGTTTTGACCCCATTCGTGTGGATCTCTGAAGAGTTAACCCTTTATACGCATGGTGGGTTTCCTCCCACTTTCAAGAGCACGCTTTACAAATTAAATGTTGCCAAACATCTCAGTTTTGCAGGACCCTCTTGAAAAACGGTATTTGGACTCGGTGATGGTGAGATCTCCCTCGCCTGGTATACAGGAGGTCATGGGTTCGATCCTGACCTTGACGCCTGGAAATTCTTCCCGTGGTTCCGTGAATTTTTCTCCGGGTCCTCCGGATTTTTCCTTCCCCATTTAGAATAAACGTTCATCCCGATTATTTGGCTTCTATAAATCTCCACGTGATAAGCCACTTTGTAGAGCTATAATTTGTGGCCAGGTCGTTTCTGAAATACAGCTACTCAGCTCATTGGGCCTTACCTGCTAAAGTAAAACATAGTTTGAAGTTTGAGTTGGTTTAATACTTACGTTGATTTTCAAAAGCTGACAGCCGCCCATTTCACAAACACGTCCGTCCGCCCAATCCGTAGGACTCACCAGAACTACCATCACAAGACGCAGCTGCTGCTGTTGCCGGAGCCTCATCACCTCCTCATCCTCCTCCTCGTGACGCTGCTGGTCAGTCCGAGTCGGCCCCACGCCGCTCACCCCGACGAGACGGAGCGTGCCGCTTCCCCATCGTCCGCTCCCAGCGGAGCGACCGGCGTCGCGCCGCTGCACGGCCCGGACGTTGTCACCGCCGGCGCTGGTCGGGGCCCGGCATCGGTGATCGGAGACCCCGGCGGCACCGCCGGTGGCAGCGCGTCCCTCTGCCTGGTGTTCGGAGGCATGGATGGAGAGGGAGAGATTTTCAACGACTGCATGGCCATGTTACTGGAGTAGCGAAAGGTGACGCTCGTTGGAAAACGAAACTAAAACCGCTCGAATGTTTTTATTATTGTTTTACCAGGTAAGGCCTCGTTGGCCATCGCAGATGATAGCTCAATGAAGTTGCTTATCGTCATCGGGTGGAAATTTATAGCGTCAGCCAAATACTTGAAGCGCGTGACGTTGATTCTAAATGCGGAGGAAAGACCGGAGGACCCGGAGGAAAGTCCATGCAACCAGTGGAGAGAGAGAGAGACACTGCAAGCTCCAAATATACAGCAAGCGTCAGGGTTGAGATCGAACCCACGACCTCCTGCATACCAGGTGAAGTAGTTAACATCTCACCACTCACAGTCAGGAGGGTGCTGCTGCTGCTTTGCACTACTGTCGTGTTGTATTGCGTTTGTTGATTTGAAGCTTTCGTGACTGCAGGAATCCATATCTTAGTTTTTTTCGGTAAAGTCACGTGGGTAGAAAATAAAATAATTATATTTTATACAATAAAATAATAATTATTTTATAAAATAATCTATTTGATTTGATTGTGTTTGTTGTTGTAACGCTTTGACCGCGTGCCCCTACTGGACATTTGTTATAAAAGGGCTTCATGGCTTTAGGGATTCCTCCGGTATGAATAAATATTGTGAATGCCGATTGAGTGATTTGCCAGGTGACCTTTTAAAGTTGGATGCTTAGGTGGAGACCAGTTGCATTGCATGTAGTTTATTGTTGTTGTTGTTGTAGCTGTCGGGAGGAAAGCGGAGAACAGGGGGGAAGTCCACGCAGAACAGGGGGAGAACATACACACTTCACTCCACTCACTCACTCTGTAGAACAAGGGGAGATCACACAAACTCCACTCACTCTGCAGAACAGGGGGAGATCACACAAACTCCACTCACTCACTCTGTAGAACAGGGGGAGATCACACAAACTCCACTCACTCACTCTGTAGAACAGGGGGAGATCACACAAACTCCACTCACTCACTATGTAGAACAGGGGGAGATCACACAAACTCCACTCACTCACTCTGTAGAACAGGCGGAGATCACACAAACTCCATTCACTCACTCTGTAGAACAGGCGGAGATCACACAAACTCCACTCACTCACTCTGTAGAACAGGCGGAGATCACACAAACTCCACTCACTCACTCTGTAGAACAAGAGGGAGAACATACACACTCTACTCACTCACTCTGCAGAACAGGAGGAGATCATACAAACTCCACTCACACTCTACAGAACAGAGGGAGAACGTGCAAACTCCACACAGAAAGTTACCCGAGTTCGGAATCGAACTGCGGAGCTTCTTGCTGCGAGGCACGCGCGTTAACGCTGCACTGCCACCCCCGCTCCTGTAAGGCAAAAGCGCAGCCCTGCAGCTGCTTGCTCACACGACTGCTGGTGGAAGGGGCCCACAGTTGACAGTGCCTCCACTGTACCCCACCACAAGCAACTGCTATTTGTACAGAGGCTACGGGGAAGGCCGGGGAGATGTTAACTACCTCGCCTGGTATGCAGAAGGTCGTGGGTTCAATCCTGAACCTGATGCCTGATGTATATTTATAGTTTGCGTGTCTCTCTCCCCTGTGAGATGTTGACTACCTCACCCGGTATGCAGGATGTCGTGGGTTCAATCCCAACCCTGAAGCCTGCTGTGTATTTGGAGTTTGCGTGTCTCTCCCCGTGGCCACGTGGATTTTTCCGCGGGTCCTCCGGTTTTTCTCTCCACGTTTAGAATCAACGCCACGCGTTTAGATTCTTTGGCTGCCATGAATTTTCCACGCGACGGTGATGAGCCACCTGGCTGCGCCATCGTTCGTGATGGACCAGGTCGCTTCTGAAAAAGTCCCCTCCGTAGTTCAGTGAGGGGCCATATCTGGCCAAATACCAAAAACCCAATATCTCAGTTTAGTTCATGAACGTGTCTTTACTCTCCGTCTGGACGATTCGGCCGCAAGCCTTCTTGGCGGAGGGTTTCCCCTCGCCAGCGGGCGGTGCTCGGAGCTGGCCCCGACACGGATGTCCAGTGTCTATGACGGACTGCCACTGCTCCCACCGCCGCTCCCCTTCAAACCAATCTGTCTGTCCTGTCCGGGGGGGGCGGCGGGGGGGGGGGGGGTAGCGATGAAAGTGGAGCCGTGGGCGGCTCGGACGGGGAGAGAAACAGTCGTTCGGCTCGGTCGATCGCGAGGCGCAGTAAACAAGGCAAAGCCTCTTTTGACGGAATTGATCGCGGCTCATAAATGGCAAATTAGAAACATGGGTGGGGGGTGGGGGGAAGCTCTTGGAAAGACAAAAAAATGATTTTTTTTGTTTTATGGTGGAGGCTTGCAAATGTCATTTTTTGTTTAGGGGGCACGGGGTGGCGGGGGACGCGGGTGGGGGGTCATTTCCAGCTGTTTGTATGTAAAGTGCGTACTTTGAACTTTTTTCGCACCAGTACGTAGCCAACCGTGCTAATGGGAGGTGCAGTGCTGAGTCTATGGGCAGTCTTAGTCGATGGGCAGTCTGTATGTAAGTGTGTACGTTGAACTTCTTTCGCACCGTACGTAGCCGAACGTGCTATTGGGAGTTGCGGCGCTGAGACTATGGGCGGTGTTCGTCTACGTGCAGTGACATCGTTGGACTGGGAAAGGCACGTGCTGCATGCAGTGAGGAGGGGGTGCGAGGGTTGCCGGGCACGGAACGGGGGTTTCAAGGGGGCCCATGGCGCACTGGTTGAGGGGCCGGCCATAAATGACGTCACGCACAGGGGGGGGAGGGGGGGGGTGGGTCAGACATTTGTGACGATGTGTGACGAAGGGGGGGGGGAGGTGAGAAATGTGACGTCACATCAACTTTAAATAAATATAGACAACACAGAAAATTTCCTTACTGTGGTTTTCACACCTGATGATGATTACTTGTGTTGCAATCCACTCACTCTCACTCTGTAGAACAGGGGGAGATCATACAAACTCCACACACTCTGTAGAACAGGGGGAGATCACACAAACTCCACTCACTGTAGAACAGGGGGAGATCATACAAACTCCACTCACTCTCACTCTGTAGAACAGGGGGAGCTCATACAAACTCCACTCACTCACTCTCACTCTGTAGAACAGGGGGAGATCACACAAACTCCACTCACTGTAGAACAGGGGGGGATCATACAAACTCCACTCACTCTGTAGAACAGGGGGAGATCATACAAACTCCACTCACTCACTCTGCAGAACAGGGGGAGCTCATACAAACTCCACTCACTCACTTTTACTCTGTAGAACAGGGGAGCTCATGCAATCAGTTCCAACTCACTCTGGTCACACGTGTCTGAGCTGCAGCAGAATCTTGTCAGTCCCAGATCGCTCTCTTCAGCCAGCTTCGGACCCACAGATAATTCAACTTTTCTCTGGAAGGAAAGACAGCGTCTGAATGACGCTGTCTTTCAGACGCTGTCTTTCCGACAGACCTGTTCTTCACCTGAGGACGGCTGCTTGCTTTGTGTCCGAAACGTCGTGAGAATTGTGTTTTATTATGTTTTATTTTTATTATGTTATTATTTCCCTTCTACGTGACTTTACCGAAAGAACCAATAAGATGAATCCCTGCAGTCACGAAAGCTTTAAATCGAAATTTTCTCTGGAAGTTCGTTACGAGCGATGGCCTGTGATGATGATGATAATGTTGTTAACCACTACGTGTGTAATAAAGGACTCGACCCTGGTTCTGTCTCCGTGTCCTTTATTTGGGTTCGCGTTCTCCTTCCCTCACGGCACTCCTCCTGAGACTCTCTGCCTGGCAGCTCCACAGCTGCCTTCGCTCCCGTAGCCTTCCGCGCTCCTGCAGCTCCGCTGCAGGCTCTTGGTGCAGCCCTCTGGCTGCTCTCACAGCAGCTCCACCGCTGCTCCCTGTTCCTCCGTGCTCGGTCACCGCTGGCCGGCGGTGCCGAGTCTTACCGTGTGTCGCGATCTCGCCACTCCCCAACCTCAGCCCTCCGTGGCCTCTGTGGCTATCTGGCCATCTCCAACCTCAGCCCTGCGTGGCCTCTGTGGCTATCTCGCCATCTCCAACCTCAGCCCTGCGTGGCCTCTGTGGCTATCTCGCCATCTCCAACCTCAGCCCTGCGTGGCCTCTGTGGCTATCTCGCCATCTCCAACCTCAGCCCTGCGTGGCCTCTGTGGCTATCTCGCCATCTCCAACCTCAGCTCTATCCCCAACTCTCTTCCACCCCGCTGGCTGGCGCCGTCATGAGCCCCTCAGCCACCAGGCTGAGGCACGGCGACCACCCAACGTGTTCACCACCCTTCACTCCCCCGACTGACCCCGATGGCTTCCTGTCTCCCCGCTATAACTTCTCCCCCACGTGACCCTGACTCCTCCCTCTCGGATCGTCATATCCGCCCCGCCCATTTACGCCCGCATTACACGTGCATTACACGTGCAAAAAAAATACGCACTTTGCCAAACAGCGAAGAACTTCTCCGCTGTCTGGCACAGACGGGCGTCGTTAACTTTCTATACATCAGACAACTACCCTTTCTCGCAACGGGAAATCGGTGGACGGTGGTCGGCCAAAGACGTCGATCAATTTTTCCCGGAGGGTGGGGGGGTGGTGGGTGTGAGGGAGGAATCGTGATAAAGATTAGATGCGAAGACACGGTTGAAAAATAAATTGTGTTCCATGTTTTAAAAAAAATTGTCCCGGGCAAATTTCCAATGCCGGCGATGGTTTCTGTAGAAGTGTCTGGCTGTTGAGTTTTCTTGGCCGAGGTTTACAATTGGCACCCGTAGCCCGGTGATGTTAATGTGAGAGATTAGCGTGTAGAAAGGTTAGAGACTCGATCAGGTGAGCCTTCTTGTCTCGTAGGCTGTTAAAAGCTCTCACAGACGCGTGAAAACCCTCCCCGTAGAGAGGCGGTTCTCAGATTGTAAATGCTGTGGATTTACTCGCCAACACACGCAGGTTTCCTGTACTGCTAACGAATTGGCACGTTTTGTGTACGTGACACAAACCTTACTACTCGGCTGTGTCGGGTGGTGGAGGGTTTAATGACACATTTTTTTACGCGCTCTAACCCAAAAAAGCTTGCATTTTGGAATGAATCTGGTATTGGGCAAAAACATCGGAATGCTGAAAAGATACCTGCAAAATTATTCAACTGCGACATCCAATCTCTCTGTGCGGATATTTTCACCGTCTCTCCCTCGTGTACACTGGCGGGTCATTGGCGTTTATTAGTAACTAGCTGTACTATACCTGGCTTCGCCCGGGACTTGGATCCACCATGCCCGGCCGCCTTTGTCTCCCCAGTGGCGATGTTCACACCACACCAGTTACTCGTTTGAGGCCGAGTCGACCTAGGGGAGGCCCAGGAGCGGTTAAAATAATCGTCACCGGTGGTGGCCGTGAGCGGGAATCGAACTCGGGTCGCCGGGTTCGTAGCGCGGCGCGCTACCCACTACACTACAACGCGTTACGCTACTACGTGCGCAGGTCACGTGACAGATGTGAAGTCACAGCTCACTTGCCGTGCTAAAAAAAGATGCATTATTGAGCTCCCCCCGACCCCCAAAAAATAAAAGTGTATTTTTATAATTTTTGCATGGTGTACAGTCTGGAAAGTACCCACATGGGAAATTTGCAGTTTGTTGCATGTTAGGAAGTACGCCAAACATTTTGAACAGACACACGTAATCACAACTTTGATTGTTATATATGGAGATAAATCGGCATGTTGTGACTCCCACTGCCACTGTGTAGCATATTATTACATGCCAGGGACTCTATGAGATGATAGGACAATAGTCTGAGTCCATAATTGTCAATAAGTAGCGGCAAAGCGGTTATAAGTGACTCACAGAATTGTGCGCAGTTGCGTGTACAGTCCATGACTTCCCTGAGGCATCAACACCTGCAGCGAGCGCGATGCCGATCACACAACGCGGTTCGAATTCGACCCTCGATCGATCTGTGCGCCATCGCCGCACACGCGTCGAATAAAAAGCAAGGGACAAGCCCTTCCTCACTCATTGGTTCTTTCGGTAGAGTCACGTAGGTGAAAATAAAATAACTAATTCACGACGTTTCAGAGGCAACACAAGCTTCCGTCATCAGGTGGGACAACCATTATTACACTGTCTTCTTGGTTCTTTCGGTAAAGTCACGTAGAATGGAAATAATAAAATAATAAAAATAAAACATAATAAAATAATTCTCACGACGTTTCGGGCACAACGCAATCAGCCATCCTCAGGTGAAGAACAGGTCTGTCGGAGAATTATTTTATTATGTTTTATTTTTATTGTTTTATTATTTCCCTTCTACGTGACTTTACCGAAAGAACCAAGAAGATGAATCCCTGCAGTCACGAAAGCTTTACATCGAAATTATTACACTGGTCAACAAAATTTTTTTTTCTGGCCTGGACTTTTGCAGCTGTTTTAAACTAATTTCAGGGTGCTGATTCCAAATCTGATCTCAGATTTGCTCTATCACATCTCATTTTTAACTCTGTCACTTATGATTGCAAGTTGTTGCGAGTCAGTGACTGCTTTAGTGTTAAAATATGGTGCTGTATTTTTAGGATAGTGCTGTTATAATATCATTTTATGTAGATATCCACATTTATTTAATATTTTTCTTCTGCAGTTTTTATTGAAAATTCTATATTTGATATCTCAAAACTTGATGCCAGATTTGGAATCAGCACCCCAAAATTACCTTAAAACCGTTGGAAAACCTTATGCCAGAAGAAGTGTGTTGACCAGTGAATTATTTTCACCTACGTGACTTTACCGAAAGAATGAAAGAGTATGAATCCTTGCAGTCACGAAAACTTCAAATCTAGAAGTCCTTACAAACTAACGACTCCTCTATCATTTTTCATTGCTGGCGGGCACGTGGCTGGGTTGTTGTCTTCAGGGTCTCTGGGTTTCTCCCTCCCACACGAATCCAAACTCTCAGTAGCTGATGGAGCTCACGGCCAAACCTCCCAGTGGAAAGCATCAGCGGCATCATCGCCCTCCCGAGGAAGAGTCGAGGCGCTTGGCTTGCGGGTTTCAGGATGAATATCGCGCCAGCTCTCTTTCTCTCCCAAGGAGTAAAACGGAAGAACTGTGGACTCGTCGTTATTATTGTTGTTGTTATTTGTAGGCGAGTTAGGGAGTTCAATCTTCCGCGGCACGGACCAGCACATTGCTGCAGTGGCAGTGATTTTCACGCAATGACTATTATTGTTGTTATTTATTATTATGTTGTATTGTTATTATTATTCACAACCAATTGAACCCGCGTGATGGAGGCCTCCTCTCGCGCTCTGTGTGCAAGCAACCGCACGCGCATACACACAAGCACGTGCACACACACGCACCCACACCCACGCACACACCCTCACCCACGCACACACCCACACACCCACACAGTGCACACACACAAGCACGCGCACACACCCACGCACACACCCACACACACACACGTGCACACACACAAGCACGCGCACACACACGCGCCCACACCAACGCACACACCCACACACACACACGCGCACACACACAAGCACGCGCACACACACGCACCCACACCCACGCACACACCCACACACACACACGTGCACTACACACACACGCGCATACACACAAGCACGCGCACACACACGCGCCCACACCAACGCACACACCCACACACACACACGTGCACACACACAAGCACGCGCACACACACGCACCCACACCCACGCACACACCCACATCCACGCACACACCCACACACACACACGCGCATACACACAAGCACGCGCACACACACGCACCCACACGCACACACCCACGCACACACACAGGTGCACACACACACACGTGCACACACACACGTGCACACACACACACGTGCACACACACCCCACACAGTGGTAGCAGAGAAATATAATTCACTGCGAAACGCCGCCTCTGTGTGTGTGTCATTTCACACTCTGCGGAGCGAGACGAGAGTGGAAGATGCATTTCAGCGTCTCTCTCTTTGCCCAACATCATCCTCATCATCGTCGTCATCAGCCGTGGCCAATCTACTGCTGGATGAACGCCTCCCTAAGACATCACCATCACCGCCGCCATCGTCAGCCGTGGTAAATCCACTGCTGGATGAAGGCTCAGCTCCAGAAAACAAAACAAAAATCTCCCTCGAGAAATTAAAACGCCGGTCGTCTTTTATTTTGTTTGCTGGAGGTGACGGCGGCTTGGGGAGGTCTTCATCCAGCAGTGGATTGACCACGGCTGACGATGATGATGATGTGATGGTGATATCTTGGGGAAGTCTTCACGCAAGCAGTAGATTGACCACGGCTGACGATGATGATGATGTCATGGGGAGGTCTCCATCCAGCAGGGGATTGACCGCGGCTGACGATGATGCTGCTGCTGAGTCTTTACAATGTAAAGCGAAGGCTGTGGGAGCAGCAACGTGTCCAGGGATCAGGAGGGCCTGCTTTTAATGTGGGTGTCACACGACTCTGACGGATGGATCGGACGGACAGGACGTTGACAAAAAACGCGTGGCACTCATCAATTGAACAACCGTGTTGATCGCACGCGCCCGACGGGGTATCACCATCATGATCATCACCATGATCACCATCATCATCCATCACCATCATCATCATCACCATCATCACCATCACCACCATCATCATCATCATCACCATGATCACCATCATCATCA